TCTGTTCTTGTATGTATCTACCCGAATGGATTAATGATGTTCTTAGCATTATTTGGCATTATTTCCATAAAAATATAATGGTTTTGATAATAGTGTGACTTCTTTAAAAGCATTGGAATGAGTTTACTCACAGCTGAACAGTAAAGGTTTGGATAATGTTACCTTTACAAAGAAACAGTCACTTTTATTAGCAATCCATTTAATTCATCAGGCTAAGTCTTAGTCTGCCCAAACTAAACTCTTCAAAATAATAAAAAAAATACTTTGAAGACCACAGGACAATGACAGGTATTAGTCACAGCAAGAAACACTCAAAATATTACAGAGAAGCATAAAGGTTATTTAAGCATAAAGAAAATAGCTTTTAGTTTATAAGAAGGCATTGTTTCATGTCTAAATTATTTCATAGCCTAAATGTAAAGTGCCATTCTTTAGTTTTCTCTTTATTACCTAACACAAATGTGGAAAAAGCATTGCAATAGTTTTAAAGATGTCTGTGAATTTATTATCTTCCTGGCCTGTCAGGCTTTCTTATAGAAACCTTTTCTGCAGTGCAGGCTACTGTTCTACTTTTCCTGCCTTTTGATAACTGCATTTGATAAAGATTACATGTACCTCTAGAAAGCAGATCTCTGGCAGTCATATCAAATCAGTGGTCGTGTGAAATTATGAGAAAGTTTTTTCTTTATAAATTGACCTGCTGCTACTTGGTGATTTTCCTCTACAGAATTGAACCCTGTCAAAATTAGCACTGCCTGACAAAATTATCTTTCCTCCCTTTTTTTTTTTTTTTTGACACTAGAAGGGAAATAATATATACTTTTAAAATAGCCACAAATAACTTAAACAAGTCTGACTTTGAGAAGATTTAAACTGTGAGAAAATCATCCTCAGGTGGAGAAATTTCTTTACTTGGATAAACAGAAATGCAAAACGTCTCAGTTTTTTTCCTATAACTCTTTGCACAGTACGTAATTGAATTTACCTTGATAATTGTTTCCTCGCACACTAGGTTTGGTTCCAGAATCGAAGAGCAAAATGGAGGAAAAGAGAACGTTATGGTCAGATCCAGCAGGCTAAGAGCCATTTTGCTGCCACCTATGATATATCTGTTCTTCCAAGGACTGACAGCTACCCTCAGGTACGGTAAAGAGCAAGCCATAATTCGATTCAACATTTACCATCCTTAGACACACATGTGTGCAGAAGATGCGTGAAGACTTTCCTGTGTTCAGTTTTCTGTTTTCTCTAGACACATCATCACTGTGAACAACAGTTTCGACATCCAGTATGAAAAATTAACTCTTAAAGTACAAATTTTTTTTTTAAACAACAATCTTAGGAGCTGTAAAGTTTTGCATAGCTTATGTACTGGGAATGTTTAGCAATGTGATTGTGTACAAAATTCTGTGGGGATTTGAATCACTTTTAGGTCCATACAGAAATTCTTGATGAAGTCTAGACCCATTGAGCTTGACAGGAGTGGTGTAACTTTTACTGCAATAAAGTCAGGAATTACCTTCTGGGATATTTATATTCACAGACACAGCTGTCCTAACAATCTTGGTCTTGTATGCTTTAGTAAGATGAGGCATAAACTATGCGATCTCTAGACAGCTTCCTTCTGACATTTTAAACTTGCACCATTTCTTTATGGACCTCAATAGACCCTTGAATACAAGTCTTCTACTAGCATGAAATAATATTACGGCCAAGTACAATCAGAATCGAATGAATACAGCTGGGAGAAGGAAGTAGAGAGAACAGAAAGCTCTCTTGGACAGTAGTAGTTTGTTTATTTTTTCCTTTTTCAGTGCTCTGTTAGTATTTAGTAAGGTATACTGTGTAATAAGATCATAATCTTCCATCTCTGTTCTCCAGTCCTTTGCTTTACTGCCTTGCTTCACTCTCTTCTATTGTTTTTCTGCTTGCTTGTTTTGGTACACTGAATACTTTTATTCTGAAGCTATTGTTTGTCATGTCTGTAGCTTCCCATTGCTTTTACCACACAATTAAAAAAAAGAAACCACCATATAAAGCATAAATCTTGTATGGGTCCCTGTTGTAGAAACTGTTGGTTTCCTGGTGCTCTTCTAGTTCATGAGGTAGCAGCATCTCTACTAACCTTAAGAATATAATAATATTCTATGTGTGCTTGCTTTGATCATGCTGTGCATTGGCTAAATATGATGAGCTTTGAACCAGAGGCCTTGGGCCTACCTGCCATCTACCCAGTTTAAAGTGCCTTATCTCTGAGAACGTTACACGTTACCAGGTTTGGTGCCTGGGCCAGAGCTGGTTTGTGTACCAGAGGCTCAAACCGTGGGCACAACCATTTCAGATCTGGTGGCACTTAATATTCTACTTGTTTTTGGTTTATAATGTAATAGAGCCCAAATTACATCAGAAACCACTGCATAATACACTCTGTTTTTAAGTAAGAGGACACAATACTTGAGATAATGGAATAATGTAAGTCATTGGTAAGCACTTAAAATGGTTGTCTCAAAATGAATTATTTTGAAAAAATAAACAGGTTTGAATTGTATGAGAGTATCATCCATAAAAATCCAAACTCAATGAAACATCTGTTTTATACTTCCAGATTGTTAAAAGGATGACGCAATTTACTGCAATTCTATTTAGGAATTTGCTAAAAAATATTTTTCATAGGCTGATGACACAACTACGTTTCAACCTGTCAAATCTTACTGTCATTAACTTCTAAGTTCTTAAAAACAGGAGATTGAAATCTATAGAAATATAAAAGGTATACTCGTCGTTGAACTGTATCGTGCTTCGTGAGCAGCAGCAAGGTACTAAATGAAGGTGTGAGTCTGCTTCACATTGGCTATTTTGGTTGAGTGCTTGCATGCACAGTTTGGCTGCATGATTAAAACAAGGTATCTTACTCCTCTGTGAAGAATGTGGCTACCTTGTTCTATACTGGAGTATGAATAGGTGTCCAGGCAATTATTACAGAACAGTCACTTGAAGTTCACATTCTTGTTAGTCTGGTGGTAATTCCTCATAGTTTCACGTTCTTAAATCCTTACCTTCAATAAAACCACGTCTGTATCACACACATAACATTTCCAGTGAGAATGAGTGAGATAATGAAATTCTTTGGTAAAAACACAATGACCACTAACATTGCTACATTCAAATCTTTTGAACTAGATACCCATTTATAAGCGCCTCAGTAAAAGAAAATAAATATAAAGTATATGACTTGCTACAAACTCATTAATATATTCCACAGTTCAGGTGGAAAGAAATATTTAAAACTGTTTTCTACATGTGTGATTTTAGTATTATAGATCGATTTCCCAAACAATTCCACTATTTCAGTGTAGTTAATGTGAGAAAAAGACCCAAATACTTCTTTTTCTCTTTTTCTCTTTTTCTTTTTTTCTCTTTTTCTCTTTTTCTCTTTTTCTCTTTTTCTCTTTTTCTCTTTTCTTTTCTATTCTTTTCTTTTCTTTTCTTTTCTTTTCTTTTCTTTTCTTTTCTTTTCTTTTTTTTCTTTTCTTTCCTTTTCTTTTTTTCTTTTTCTTTTGTTTTCCTCTATTATATCATTCCCCTTCCCATCTACAAGCACTCTTACTGTGACACTGACATAAGCAAATACTAGATGAGCTTTGCCATACTTTTGAGTAAATCGTTTTTTTGGGGAATTGTGGAACACAGACCACTAGAGCTTATTTATGGAGCCTTTATTAACATGGGGGAAAACAGACTCTGTTGCTGGCAAAAATATATGATGAATGTTGAAAAAGGATGAAATCAAGCTGGGATGTTTACGGCTGTGTGGCAGAAGGAAAAGGAACAAATGTGAATTTCTGGTGTGCATTATATGAATTTGCAGTTTGAAGATTTCTGTTTTGAGCCCCACCATGGGTATGTTCACAGAACAGACATCCCATTTGCATTCCAGCAGAAACATCAGTCTCTTTTGCAGTCAGCAGAGGGTGTGGAGACCCCTGCTTAGACTCTTCAGTTATCTTCATCATAAATTAAGAACGTCATGTTGTTATGCATTGTGAGACTATATAAACCTGAAAGGTTTTCCTGTGAGGAAATAATCTTTTCAACTTATTTCAGATAGAAGGTTGGTTCGGAATTAGAGAATAGTTGAGACTGGAAGGAATCTCTGGTGATAGCCTGGTCCAACTCTGACATCTATAATGCAGTCTAATTTTGCAATAAAATCACACACCTTTATCTTAAAAATAGTAATAAACAATTTTATTTTTTTTCTTAGATTGTAATTGTTTTCTTTGCTAATTCAGACTAACCCTAATTATTTTTACGGTACATTAACTTTAGGTGTTGCTTATTGTGCAAAATAGTTGCTCAGCTGGCTGCCATGTTCAGTATCTCCTAAACTGTCCAAATTCTGCATGCATACATCTTTCATTAATTATACTGACAACACCTGGATTGCAGAGGAGTACAGTATTCCAGGAGAATCATCTGTTATTCACATGTTTTTTTCTAAGCTTTAACATTAAAAATGCCACAACATTTTTAAATTTTGACTCAGATGAAATATTTAAGTTTTGAAAACATTATGCTGAAAATCAGATTTTTCTAGGAAAATACAACACTTTTCATTCATTTCAGTAAAAGATTTTAGTTTCACAAATTTCACTGTTTAAGCTTCAAATTTCTCTTGCAGTTGCAACATATTGTGGCCTAAAGCTGTCTTAAGCATACTCAGGAAATAATTCACTGGTTAAAACTCTTATACCAGGCACTTTGAGCCTCATGAACTAGCAATACTCTGCCAGAGGTATGAAAGCTAAGAGGCAACATCTTTACATCAGTGGGGAAATGAATGCAGATTCACTTCATGGAGATGTTTACTTCAACTCATCTGAGTAAACGTTAGTAAACAAGCAATACTTGAGTTGGTCACCTAACTACAACGTCTGGTGTTATTAAAGATGTCTTGGGATATCTGAGACACTGTTGTAGTGCTGATGATCAAGACTTACAAGAAGGATGTACCCTTCAAGGGGGGAAGCTGGTGGTCAGATAAATATTAGACGTTTGTGTTTAGGAAACTTAACCAAAGGGACTTTTGCATCAGAGATGGGGTCCCTTTCAAGCTGGTGAAAATCTGATCAACTGAGTTTTCTTTCTAAAATGTAAGGTATAAAATAGGTAAGAGGATATCTAAAAATGTATTTTTTTTCCTCTGACGCCAGGTTCAGCTGCAGACATCTATAGTTATCTTAGATAGATCTATATATTATGTGTTGTGAGAGGAACAATAAAAGGTTACTTAGCCTTGCTCTTCTCTTACTTTATTGATCTTGACTACTTTTGCTGTCCTATGCCTAGTGAGAAGGCTAATGTTACAAAGGGTACTTGACCTTGTCAGGTTTAATGTTTAAGTATGAGAAGTAGCAAAGGAGCAAAAAGTCTGAGACAAAATTCCATTTTTATCCTCCTCTTATTTACACACATGAGAGTGAAATTTGATCAAAAGCTTATACTATCATCACACAGACCTCCAGCTTTCCCTGTATGAGTTAAATTTATAAAGATGTTATCTCTATAAATGTAAGTGCATCACTATCTAAACAAACATCAAATTTTATCCTTGAAAAGCAGTTATAAGAAGCAGTATTTTTGTCCCACCTAGGGCTTTTCCACATCTTGTATCTTTTCTTCTTTCCTGTTCTTTAAGCCTAATTCTGCTGTCATGAGTTCTTTGGAAAGGCTTTATCCCACCACACCATCATACTTACGCTCTTACCATCACATGTGAAATGTATTGTTTGCTTCCCTTATTTACTTAAAAATGCAGGTAAGAGTTTGATAGGACTGAATTTAATTGTTTTATTTTGTGGAAAACCCCAGTCTAGTGCAGGTGGGAACCCCAAGGAAAGAAAAGCATTTCAAAAGTATGGGAACTGAAGGGATACAGAAGGTGTAGAAAGAAGGAAGAATGCTAAAAATCTCAAAAATAGAAGAGGATGAAGTTTACATTCCATCCACCAGACTGTTAAATCAAATTAAGCGTGTTGAACAGTATGGCATCACATGATTTGTTTTGGCAATCAAAGAGTGTAGAAGCGGTATCAGTATACATGTGTTATATACTAAGTCCTTGGATCATCATTACAGTTC